GATGGAGGCAGGGCAGCCGTCCAGGTGGGTGAGCCGGGCCCGGGACTCTGTCCCTTCAGGGGCTCCCTCCCGTGTGTCTCCCGGTCTCCTGCCCTGCGCCAGGAGGGCCCCTTCCCGGCCTCCGCACCCCACCCCCAGGCCTCCGCGCCCTAGCCTCGGCTGCGGGATCTGCGGGGCCCGTGTTCACGGTGGCCTCCCCTGCAGCATCATCAGCTGGTTCGTGCGAAGCTTCAAGTACTTCTACGGGCTCCGCTTCAAGGTGCGGGACCAGCACAGGCTGCAGGAGGCCCGGCCCTGTGTCATCGTCTCCAACCACCAGAGCATCCTGGACATGATGGGTAGGCTGGGCATCCGGGGCAGCTTCCAGGTTCTGAGTGGGGCCCGCTGAGCTGGGGCTGTGCGGGGCTGGGGCGGGGTCCCGAGGACGAAGACACAGAGGACAAGACACTGCCTGTGCCTGGACAAGCCTGGCCTCAGTCCCTCCCTCAGGGCCGGACACAGAGGCTCGGAGGCCACACGACCCGCCCAGGTAGCCAGGGAGAAGGCAGGGCCCCAGGCAGGTCTGTGGGTGCTCAACGACTGTCTCCCCCTCTCCCTGTCTCTCTCTCTCTCTGTCTCCCAGGCCTCATGGAGGTCCTTCCGGAGCGCTGCGTGCAGATCGCCAAGCGGGAGCTGCTCTTCCTGGGCCCCGTGGGCCTCATCATGTATCTCGGGGGCGTCTTCTTCATCAACCGGCAGCGCTCTAGCACTGCCATGACGGTGATGGCCGACCTGGGCGAGCGCATGGTCAGGGAGAATGTGAGTGTGCAGGGCCGGGGCTGGGTGGGGTCGGGGTGGGGCCCGGGCGGGGTCAGGCGGGGACCAGCCTGTGACTTGGTTTTGGCAGAAAAAACCCCACATCATCCTTGCTCCTCAGATCGGGTCCCACGCCAGCTGCTTCACAGAGTGGGGCTTCTTCGGAGGGGAGGGGAGGGAGCGCCGCCTTTCTGGGGTGACCTGGACGTGAGGTCAGCCCAGGCTCTTCTCTCCCTGCAGCTCAAAGTGTGGATCTACCCCGAGGGTACTCGTAACGACAACGGGGACCTGCTGCCTTTTAAGAAAGGCGCTTTCTACCTGGCGGTCCAGGCACAGGTAGGCTGAGCCCAGCCCTCCCGGGGGGGGTGCAGGCTGCAGAGGCGGGGTCAGGCTGGCTTAAGGCAGGAGGTGACCACCCAGCCAAGCTGAGGACCCTTGGCAGGCAAGGGACTCCTCCCACTGAGTTGGGGGACAGGGCCTCCTTGCCCCTTCCCACACTTGCCCCCTGACCGGCCAGGGAGGGCAGCCCCTTAGGCTTTTGCCCACACAGAGCCCCAAGTGACCAGCTGCCCTTGGTGAGCACCCAGGACGTGGCCTGCGAGGCTGGGCGGGTAGAGGGGTGAGAAGCCGGGCCGCTGGCCTCTGCCCACCAGGCTCTCAGGAGGCTCATTCTGGGCCCATGCCTGGCTGGGGTGGGCTTCAGGGCATGGGCAGTGGGTCTGGACAAGCCAGGCTTTTGGTGTAGCAGCGGGTCAGGCCAGAGCTTGGGGTGGGTGGAGCTCATTGTGAGCGACACCTGCAGACTCTGGACTTCCTGGTCCCCAGCCTCCAGGGGTGCAGCGCGTCCTAGGATGTCTGGGAGAGGCCAGGGTATAGCCAACCCCGCGGCACCTGTCCTGCCCCTGCCGCTGTGCTGGGGAGAGCTGCGTCAGAAGGAGCTTTTACCCTACCTGGGTGGGGTCTCACTCAGGGCCGGGGTCTCAGGTCCTTCCCTCACACTGGCCTGTAGTGGCCCCCGGTGCCTGACCTGTGCAAGGTGGGTGGGAGGGGGCCCTCCTTCCGGAGGCTCCCAGCTAAGGCTGTGAGGCCTGGGGAGCCCCGGAGGCACTGGGCTGGGCGGGCATCCTTGGGCTCTGATCCCAGCCCTGCCCAGGTGCAGGACACACCTGCCCAGCCTGGGGCTGATGTCACTTCCCTTTGGGGGCGGAGTGACGGCTGGATCGGCTCTGGGAGAGAAGGGAGATGGGAGGCTGTGACGGGGGAGGCTGGGGGTGGCGGCAGCCAGGAGACTGCTCCCAGTCCCCAGCCTACCTGCCGGCCCCCTCCCTCCCTGCTCCCAGTCCCCACCTACCTGCTGGCCCCTCCCTCCCTGCTCCCAGTCCCCAGCCTACCTGCCGGCCCCCTCCCTCCCTGCTCCCAGTCCCCACCTACCTGCTGGCCCCCTCCTCTGCCCTCCAGTCCCAAGGCCTACTTGCCGGCCCCTGGAGGTTGCCTGGCTGCCTCAGGTTAATGATCACCCCCCAAGTGCCCTTGGATTTGACCCCGGTGGCTTCCAGGAACAACCAGCAGGCTCCACCCCTCCCCGGCTAGAGCTGCCTCCCTCACTAGCTTCCTGGGATGGAAGAGAGGACTGGGAGGGAGGCGTGGGCAGGAGAGCGCCCATAACCTCCTTCCTACATCGGACAGGGCCTGCCCACTGGCTAGTACACATCAGTACGGGACAGGCGTGAACCAGACAAATAAGTGGCTAGCTCAGGAGGGTTTCCTAGAGGAGGGTAATTAGAGATTTGCAGGATGAGCTTTGCAACTCTGGGCCAACCAGAGCAGGACAGGTATCCCAGGTCCAAGGGCAGGACAGGCCACAAGGACCCATGGCAGCAGCGAAGGCAGGGGCAGGTGGGCCACAGGGACAGGCTTCCCAAACATATGCAGCCCGGGTGTGCCTGGCCTGGTCCCCAGGGGCTGGGCCTCCAGCGCGCTGTCTCCCTGCCACAGGTGCCCATCGTCCCGTGGTGTACTCCTCCTTCTCCTCCTTCTACAAACACAAGAAGGAAGCTTGATTCAACTCTAGGTTACCACCAATGTGTGCACCCAGGGGTGTAGGCCCTGCCTGACCCTATGGTCACGGAGCCGGTGCCCCTCCATCGTTCCCATTCTTGGGTGGCACCCGTGGCATGCCACATGGTCGGCCATGTGGCGAATGAGTGACTCCAGGCTGGCAGTCGGCTCTGGGCTTCATGCTCTCATGGCAGTCACCCTTCCAGGTGGGCCCTGTGAGATGGGTGGTGCTGGGGCCACTTTTTTTAGATGAGGAAACTGAGGGCTTCCCAAGAGGGTAGCCTGGATGCCGGCTTCACACGGGGGATGGACCCCAGCTGATGCACAAGCTTAGGGGCTTTGAGGCGGGCCTCCTCCAGGGTGCTGGGTGAAGGGGCGGCCTCTTGAGGCCCATGCGTCCAGGGGCTTGATTGCTGCATGGGGTAGATGGAGCCAGGCAAACCAGGCACAGGCGGCCGAGGGCTCACAGCCTCTGGCCCCCCAGCAGATTCCCCGAGAACATGCGGTACCCTGGGGCCAGTGGGACAGTGGGTCAAAAGTTGGAAAGCAGTGGGGGAACTCAGCCCCATCTCTCCCACAGGCCCCCGTATGGGAGGCAGAGGCCAGGCGGTGGGGCAGGGGCGATCGGGAAGGGGGGCTTTCTGGGGGCGGTAACGGGAGCACAGACTTGTCGAAACTGTGGCATGAAGGCCAGGCAGCTATCGGTTTTACTGCACCAACATTACTGCAATTAAAGTAACCCACCACGGCTAGGGAGTCCAGGAGAAGAACCTGGCCTGGCCTCAGGGGCTTCCCAGGGAGTGGCTGTGGGGAGCCGGGGAGAGGTGAGGCCGGGGCAGCAGGCTGAGGTGGGCCCCAGCTCCCCACAGGCCGCTGAGGTCTGTTGCTCCCCCGGCAGGAACAGTCACAGTGCAGGTGTTGGAAGCCATCCCCACCAGCGGCCTCACCGAGGCGGATGTCCCTGCACTCGTGGACACCTGCCACCGGGCCATGAGGACCACCTTCCTCCACATCTCCAAGACCCCCCAGGAGAACGGGGCCACTGCGGGGCCTGGCGTGCAGCCGGCCCAGTAGCCGAGACCACAGCAGGGCAGGACCTGGGGAGGGCAGGTGGGAAGCCAATGGCTGGAGGATGGGCAGAGGGGACCCCCACCCAGGCTTCCAAATACCACTGTGTCCGGCTCCCCCGGCTCTCATTCAGCCCTGGAAGCAGGAGGTCCCTTCTGTCACTGGCCTCAGACATGGGCCCCGGCGTCCGCTGCAGGGGGATCAGCTGGACCCTCCCTAGGCTCGAGGGCAGGGACTCACCCCCACGGCACCTCAGAGCTAGGATGATGAGGATGAGGCCTGAGGCTGTGGCCGGCAGGTGGGCTGAGCCACAAGGCCCCCGGATAGCCCAGGAGCAGACGGGCGGACCCCAAGTCCCGACGTTCACTGCCCGAGCCCTCTGCTCTGGCCACCTGGGACCCACTCGGATGCAGTCGGGCTCCACGGGCCAGCCCACAAGCTGCATCAGGCTCTCAGGGAGAGAAGGCGCCTGGAGGGCTGGGAGTCCCAGACTCAGGCACCCTGGGCCACAGGGAGCCGGGAAGTGGGACCTGCTGCTCCTGCCGGCGTGGAAGACTCTGGAGTCAGCATTGTACTCCGTTGCTGTTTTTTTATAAACACACTCTTGGAAGTGGCTGGACAGCTGTGGTCACTCACAGGGCGGGCAGGGTGACCAGGGTGGTAGAGCCCATGCTGTGTCTTCCCAGCTGCTCTCCCTAAGAGCCCAGGGTGGAGGCACCGCCACCCACCCGTGTTCCCTTTCCAGGGGTGGGCCCACATCACCCTCTAATACTTCCATCGGTGGGTGGGGGGTGTCGCCTAATTGGGGCAGGTGTGCCAGGATCCTCAGGCTACTGGGAAGGAGGCCAGAGATTTGCTTTTTGGCCTCTGGTTGGGGCCAACACATCTCCAAGACAAAGCTCTCTGTGGCCTCAAAGAAACCACCTGCCCAGCCCCTCTCCCTTGGAGTGCCCTCCCCACCTACTGCCAGCTCCACCTGGCCCCGTGCCAGCCGGCACCCGGCAGCGGGTCTGGGTGGGGTGGCCAGGAGCTGAGAGCCCTCCCCCCCAGGCCCCGAGTCCATCCACTGACACAGCAGCTCACATTTCATTTTTATTCTGCTGGGGCTCAGGCAGCAGCCCCCACTGAAGCCCCACCCAGCCTCCGGGCTGCCTGGCCTGTGCCACGGGTCCCAGTCTCCAGCAGAGTCCGTGAGCTCGTACCTTCCCTCGGCTGAGGGCCCACCTGGCCTTGGGATGCCGTTGGGCTGGCTAGGGATGGATTGACACAGAAGACCCCAGCCCACCCCATGCCAGAGCCTTGGGAGCCTCCTGAGGAAGGGGAGGAGGAAGAGGAAGGGGAGGAGGAAGAGGAAGAGGGCCCTGCCTGGCCTTCCACTGAGTCACCCTGAGGCTCAGTCACCCCGAAGTGGTGTCTGGACCCCCAGCATGTCGCCCAGGGGCATGGGGGCTGCAGGGCAGGGTGAAAGGCTCAGTCCGGCCTGGGGCGCCGGGCAGTCACGAGTCTTTCTTGCAGGAGCCTAGGGTTGGATGAGGCTAAGGTCAGAGGTCACTGCTCCCCATAGCCTCCCCGCCCAGCCAGATCTGACCCCTTGGCCTTTGGTCACCCCCGACCCCCAAGCCTGGGTAGCCCCTCTAGGCCAACTGAGCGCAGACCCGGGAGGAGGGCTCTGGAGGGTGGGGGGCACTCACAGGACCCCAGCTGCTCCTCCAGGAAGGAGATCTGCTCACTCAGGGAGTCGATACGGCCCAGCTGCTGGAAGGAGTGCACCAGGAGGCTGCCGGGGTCCGGGAGCCCGTGCTCCAGTGCCTGCGAGGCCAGGCTGTGCAGTGGGGCCAGCACCAGCTGCAGCTTCTGCGGGTGCAGAAGGGTGGTGACTCCGGGCCGGCCCCGCCCTCTCTGCTCCACCAGGGTCTAGGGAGGACCCCCGGGAAGGGCTCCACAAGCCTCCAGCCCCAGCCCCTGCGGCAGGGCTCCAGGTGTCCACTAGAGGGGGCTGCCGTGCCAGAAGAGCCTGCGGCAGAGTGGGTGCCTGGGGCATTAGGCTGGCCGGGTGGTCCCAGCCTTGGGGTCCCCGGCAGAACTAGGGGGATGGCTGGACCACTGGCCAGTGGGAAGACTGGCAAGAGCTCTTTGTCCTGGTGGGGACAAAGGTGGTGGAGGGTGGGGAAGTCTTGTCTGGGTCCAGGCTGTGTGTATGGTCTAGGGGGCTGCCATGGGGGTCCTGGTCAGTGTCTGGCTGCCTCTGCCCGGCATGGATCCAGGCCAGGGCCTCCTCGGCAGTCAGCAGCAAGGAAGCTGCCTCCCCAGGGCCAGGATCTTTTCAGACCACCCCCAGCCATCCGTGGGTCGCAACTATGGAGCCTATATCCTGGCCTGGGCTGCTGTCGCGAGGACCTGCCCCACCCCAGGCCTCACCTCCTCCAGCAGGTCCACCCTGGACTGCAGCCTCTGCACTTCCTCCTTCATTGCACTGTCCACTCCTGGGGGCAGAGCCAGGTGCTGGGTCAGGGTCGGCCGGCTCCCCACCCACACCCCCAGGCTCCCTCCTGTCCCCAGGGAGAGGCAGAGCCCGAAGACTCAGATCCAGGCCTCTGCCAGCCCTCACGCCTGCCTGGCGTTGGCCAGAGATCTCAGGGCTGTGCCACCTAAGTACACCGGGGCGCATGGCTCTGCGCAGCTGCTCAGGGTCCCGGCCACGCTGAGGGAGGTCGGAGCTGTGGTGTCAGCGGCGCTTTCGATGCGGTGCTGTGGACAGCGCATTATTACTCACGGTACGAGTTTGAAGTGTCACAGCGCGTACCAAAAGTAATAATGTCCCATCACCAGCGGAGGCGTGGCGTCTTCCAGAATGCTGCACTGCACGCAGACAGGCACTTCCGCCTTCTTGGCTGACCATGAGGCTCCAGGCAACCTGCCCCCAGTTCTCAGGAACCCACCTGTCCTCCCGCCCCATCTTCCCTCCCTGGAGAGGGAGCCCCCACCACCTTCCACCCAGGTTCCAGTGCCCCTCACCATGCCTAACACAGAGCCACATGGCAGTGTCCACTGCCTGCCCACCTCCCCAGGCCAGGCCCAGCCAGGGCTGAGTTTACCTGTCAGGCTGGGGGCCACCCTGGGGGGCCCTCCCGTGGGCACGCAGTGTGTACCATCTGCAGACAGCCTGTGCCCCTCCCAACACTGGCACCAGTAACTGCCGGCGGTGTTGACGCAGCGCTGGGGACAGCCGGCCCCCCCAGCACTGCATTCGTCCACATCTGTAGGAAATGGGGTGTCAGGCGGCCATGCCTGTGGGAGGGGTCCTGCCGACATAGCTCCCTTCACAATCACTCACTCATGGGCCAGCAGTAACCCCAGGACATGCAAGGAGGTGCCCAGGCCCCTTCCAGGGTCCCCCAGGGTGGAGCCAGCCTCACCTGACTGGCAGGTGTCACCCTGCCATCCTGCAGGGCAGCGGCAGCGGCCAGGCTGGATGCAGCTCCCTCCGTTCCGGCACGGTGGCTGGCATATTGCTGTGGGTAGGGGAGGCTGGTCACCAGCTCAGTTGGGTCCCCAGCGCCCTGTGGGGGCAGCTGCTAGGGAGTGGGTGCTCTGTGGCAAGGTGGTGCTTTGCTCCAGGTTCAAGAAAAGCAGCAGGAGCATTGCCGGAAGACTGGGGAATAGTCGCCTTTCTGACTAACACCAGGCACCGAGGGGCGTAGCCCTCACCTGCTCCACAGGCCCCGGGAAGCCCGCTGGTCCTCTTCCAGCCGGGGCAGCATGCGTACCGAGGCCTGGCGGGGGCCAGCCCAGGGCTGCGGCGGTAGGCGGTCCTATAGATGGTTCTGTGGGGTGGGCGGGACAGCTCAGAGGGGCATCCTACTCCCCCTTAGCCACCCACTGGGCAGCTAGAGTCCCCTCTCAGAGTGGACAGAGTCACCCCAGCGTGTCCCCAGGGGTCTTCTCCCCAAGGGATGGCACTGAGGGGTCATTGCACAGCCGTTTCCCTGCCTGGGCCTTCCGGTGCTGGCCGGGACTCAAGCCACAGCAGGAAGGCCCAGCCACATTCTGCATGGAGCAGAGGCAGTGGCCAGGCCTGTGTGTGCCCCCACCTATCTGGCCTCCTCCTGTGGGGGCATCCAGGCCCAGAGGAGAGGGCCTGCCTGGCCTGCAGCGGGTCATGGCAGAGTGTGGGCCCTGGGCATCGGAGCACTTCTTAAACCTCCAGGAGACTGAATTCCCAGGCCCCTCCCCCAGCAGGGGGTGGATCTCCCACACCGAGGAAGGAGGACTCTGCCCAAGGCTGAGACTGGGGGGTGTGAGCCCCTTGTGTGGGCACACAGGACCTCTCAGGGTCTGATCTGTGCCTGTTGGGGGCCGTCACGTGGAGGGGCTGCTCAGTGGAGTGGGGAGTCGGGCACCATTCCGTGGAGATGGGACCTTGCAGCCAGGGATACAGGGCAGGGAGGGGTTAATCCCCCAGAAGTGGAGGAGTGCAGACAGGACGGGCGACCCCTCTCAACATGGGGATGCCCTTAGAGGTGCTGCCCTTTGAGACGTGTCGGGACGAGAGCAAGGATTAGGACGTTGGAGGTGACCATGGAACCCCTTGGCTCCAACCGCCCTGGGTCACCCATCTCAGTCGGCCCTCTCGTGGCTCTGGCCTCAGTTTCCCATCTTACGCCCCAGGATTCACACCCCCCCCCCGACAGGCTGATGTGTGGCAGATGGGGGCAACCTGGGGGATTGGCCTTGGGAGGCTGGGGCTGGGTGGGCTCGGTTGGGTGGGGCACTCACCGGTAGGTGCTGCAGGCCCGGTGCCCGTCACAGGTGGTGAGGAAGGGCTGGTACACGCGCTGCACGAAGGACTCAGAGACAGGGTCCCCGTGAGCCCCGACGGCACACACCCTACGGCTGTGGGGGTGGACAAGGGGTCAGCCCAGGAGTCCCAGAGCAGGACCCAAGAATGATGGGGACATGCGGCTGGGGTAGGACCTTCTGCAGGTGTCCCCAGGGAGTCCCCCACAGGTGCTGAGGGCTGCCTCCAGGACAGGATGAGGGCTCCTGGTCACCCCACCCCAGCACTCACAGGTCAGGGTTTGGCTCACCCTGGGCGGTAGGCGTGCTCCGTGCCGCCCGCTGCCAACACCAGAAGCCACACCAGTAGCATCTCCTGAGAGCCCCACATGGCCTGTGCCTCCGGGCAGGGTGGCCTTCTCCTCTGGGTGGCCTGGGGCACAAAGCATGACCCTTAAGTCTCCCCGAAGATGCTCTGCCTCCAGGCCACGGGTGCAGTTTGCACTTGCTCCATGAGGCCTGCCCAGCTCATCTCCGCTGGAGCCTCCACCAGTGGGAGAGCCCCACGGTGGTGCCCACTCTCTCCTCCCCTGGCCCCCTCTTCCAGCCATCGAGACCCTCGCCGGCCACAAACAGCTGGGGCCACAGCCTGGGGACCACAGGGGGGCGACGCTGTCCAGAGCTCTTGGTACAGGAATCGAGTGGATCCTGCTGGACGTCTCGGACGCCCGAGGCTCCAGGAATGGGGGGCCCAGTTCCTCCTGTCCTGCCTGGTTCCAGGGCCCTCCTCACAGTAGGGCAGGGGTGAGTTTGCACCCCAGTCTGTGCAAACGGGGTGTTCGCGGGCAGAGCTGAGATCCAGCCCCACTAGGGACATGCTGGCCTCAGCTGTTCTGGGCTTTGGTTTCTCATCTTCTGAGTGTGGAACCGGCCCCGGGGGATGGGCCGGCAGCTGCAAGCCAGCAGGAACCGTTCGGGGGTGCACACATTCTAAGACCACCAGAGGGGCCGCCTTCATTTTACAGGGGGTCCCTCCCAGGCTGGGATATGTGTGCAATCAGCCTCCAGGGATCCTGGGACAGTGGCTGTGACAGGTGCACACCTGGGGGTGGGCAGCAGCCCCCTACAGTGTCACTAGAGCCAGAATCCAACCCCCTCCTGGCTGTGCCGCAGGAGCCAGGGGCCCCGTGAGGCTCCCTGAGAGCATGAGAGAGCCCAGAATTAACGGTCTGTGACAATGCCGGGGGTGGGGATTCTGTCCTATACACAGCCAGGGGTCTGGAGAGCTGGCGAGCCCCTGCCATGCTCCGGGGTCCCACCCAGGGCCTCTCAAGGGTGCTTCCCAAAGGCTGGGTGGGTTCCTTCCGAGGCACTCCAGGGCTCCCAATTCAGGGGCAGAGGCTGGGGTAAGGCTGTCCCTTCTCTGGGATTCAGTTTCCTCAGATACGAGAATAGGATTTGTGAGGCCCCTCCTTGGCTCTGACGGCCAGTCCTATAAACAGTCACGCTGTCCTCAGTCGCTGCTGGCCAGCCCCACTGGGTGTCTTCCCACCCACATCTGCTTCCCACGGGCACTGCCACGGCATCACCCAGTCCCAGCGGGAGGGTGGCTGGGGGTCCTTCGTGGACCTCCTGTTCTCCGTGCGCTGGAGAGAAGAGGGCAGGGCAGAGGCTGCCAACTAGGCAGAGGCTGTCCTGGGCAGCTGAGGGGCAGGGACTTAGCTGGGGGGCAGTGGGTACATCACAGCAGTTTTCGAGCAGGAGTTTGTCCAGGGGTCAGAGCTGGCTGGAGATTAACTCTGGGGATGGGCCCTGGGTGAAGGACACTGTTAGGGGCTGGGCCTTGTGCGACCCCAAAGCAAGACTCGAAGTGGGGGGACAGGTGACACTGGGGAGGAGGGAAGGAAGAGGTAGGGCAGTGGCCGGGTGGCTTGGGGTGGGCAGGGAGATGCCAGGGCAGGCCTGGGGAGAGGCGAATCTCCCAGACCTCATTGTCCCCCACACATATTCGCACAGCACCCCCCGCAATTCCTGAGAGTCGTCTGGAGAGGAAGCGGTGCTGAGAAGTGGAGACTCAATTTTTGAAAGTCATGCTTTTCCCGAGGCCAGAGGAAGCCCGTGGCGCTCTGCAAGCTGGTGCTGCAAGCCCCATTTCCCTTGGGGGGCCACAGCCTCGACCCAGGGGTGCCGGGCGGGGAGGGGGCGGCGGCTCCAGGTGGACCAGCAGTCCGGTCCCCGTGCCCCCAGCGCCCACGGGCTCCCTCCCCACCTGCCCGGCAGCAGCCCCGCAGCCCCCACCCACGGGAGGCCGGGTCCGCAGAGGGAGGGGCCTGGCCGCGCCGCGGGCACTGGCGGACCCCTCGCGGCGTGAGCGGGGCTGGAGACCTTGAGGCCCACGAGGGAGGGCGCAGAGGCGGAGCGAGACGGACCTGCCCGCCGCCCCCTCCCAGCCGCGCGGCCGGCTCCGGGGTTGGGGGGGCGGAGCAGGCAGCAGGGGCTGGGCCCCGAGGCGCTGGGTCGGGCCGGGTAGGACGAGGGGCCGCGGCGCCCCCCGCCCTCTCCGCCGCGCCGCCCGCCAGCCGCCGGCAGGGGGAGCCGGTTCCCGGGGCCGCTGGGCCCATTCTCCCGGCCCGGCCCGACCCAGCCGCGGACGCCCCGGCCCGCTCCCCGCTCTGGGCCCCGCGGTCGCGCTGCCTCGTCCCGGAGCCGCCCCCGGCTCCGCGCGGGGCCAGGTCCCCCGTCCCCGGGGGCTCCGCGGGTCCCGCCCTCGCCCCAGCCCGGGCGACGAGCAGACCCCGACCCCGGCGCGCCCCGCTCGCTCCGCACTCACCGCCGGATCCGGGGCGCGCACGCGCCGCCGACACTGCCGCCCGAGCCCGCGCCGTGGGGGCCCCGAGCCCCGCCCCGCCCCGCCCCCGGCCCCGCCCCACCTGGCGGCCCCGCCGGAGCCCCGCCCCGCCCCCATTGCGCAGACGGGGAAACTGAGGCCCCGCGGCGGGCGGGCAGTGACTCCGCTGGAACCCGGGGCTGACGCAAAAGCGCCTCTGAGCCGCGGCCCCCCAGCCCCCCTCCAGGAATCCTAGGGCCCGAGTCCCCGCGGCAGGGCGCTCGCTGAGCGGGATGCACGACCACCGAGCCCGGCTGCCAGAAGCCGGGAGAGGCCGCCCAGGGCACCCACACTGACGGGGCTGCGGGCCCTTTGCTAGCTCTCAAGCCCCCAGGCTGAAAATCACCCCGGGACGCCTATCTCGGCTGCTGGGGGGCCGCGCGGTAGGCACCCGGTGCTGGTTAGCACTGAGCTCGGTCTTGCAGCCTCGCAGGCAGTGGGCATCATGACCGTCCCCAGAGAATAGGATTTGTGAGGCCCCTCCTTGGCTCTGCCCTGCGGCTTTGTGTCCTCCATTCCCACGCTCTCCCCAGAGTTCTCCCCAGCAGGGTCCAGCCCTGGTTTCTGGCTGTTTTGGGGCTAGACTCTGATGGCCCATGGGACAGCTTCCCCACCCCCGGGCAGTTTGTCCAGGCCCCCTCACACGGTGGCCCCGCCCCCCTTAGGCTCCTGTTTGTCCGACGACACGTCCCCGTTATCAGCAGAGAACACACACAGGAAGTCCGGCTGGGAAGGGCCCCATCCATCCCCGATTACCCGGACGGAGCATAAAAGCCGCCCTTCCTCGCCGCGGGGGAGCCTCCCTGCCACCAAGCTAGCCCAGCACGGCTGCAAGGGAGGCTCCTGTGGACAGGCCAGGCAGGTGGGCCTCGGGAGGTGCCTCCAGGCGGTCAGTGGGCCTAAGGCCCCAGCAAGGGCCAGGGTCCATCCCCAGTCCCAGGGACACAAGCAGCGGGCCACCATGGCTACGCCTGGGCTCCGGCAGCATCAGGTACGGCAAGGGGTGGCCTTGGAGGGGCAGGGAGCGGACAGGGCAGGCCCCCCGTTGCCCCCTCACTCC